GGAGAGGGAAATGAATATATCTCACCAAAAAAAGTCAAACAAAAATTCACAGTAAGGACTGTACATGTATTAATATAGCTGTAATTTAAAAAGACTGGCCACACCAACTGTTGATAAGGGTGTGGAAATTGGTACTAACATGTATGATCGCTAAAAAGCAGCTTAAGTTAAACACACATCTACTGTGTGATTCTGCCATTCCACTTCTTGGTATTTATCCAAACAAAATAATATGCCTGCCCATACAAAGGCCATAGGAATATCCCAAGCAACGTTATTTGCAATATTTAAAACTATAAACCCACATGTCCACTGAAAAATAACATACTGGATGCCAAATTGTGGTATATCTGTATAATGGAACACTACTCATCAATGACAAGAAATCAATTAATGATACATACAGCAATGATGAATCGGAAACTGAAAAGGAAAAGCAAAAAAGAACACGAGTTCAATTAAATTCCTTTCCTTTCCTTTCTTCTTTGTTTCTCTTCCTTTCTTTTAAGTTTGAGACAGAATCTTGCTATGCTGTCTAGGCTGGTCTCAAGCTCATGGACTCATGAGTAGTCTCATAAGCAACTGAAATGCAGGCATGAACCACTATACCCGATGGGAAAATGCTCTTAAAGAGATCAGGTGACATCCCTTAAGTTCCTCTTCGAGAATGATACATTAAAAAGCAAGAAAGTTCTAAGTATGTAACAACGCACACAAAAAGCATAAATTGAAGAAACTGCAAAACAATGTATAAAACTAGATTTGTAAGTACAATCCAAACATTACCCATCAGATTTATGGCTTAATCCTGACTTTAAGCAGTACTAACACTCAGAAAAATCAAGTGATCTGTAAGCAAATAAAAACATGTCAAGAATAAAAACACTGCCAGAAGTAAGAAATTTGCAATTTTTCATTTTAACTGTACTCTGCTTTCAATAGCATTTTAACTGTACTCTGCTTTCACTAGCAATTTTTCATTTTCTGTACTCTGCTTTCAATAGCAGACAACTTTCTCCCAGTCTCTGTGTTAGTTTTTCAATTTCACCACGTGAAGTATTCTAAATATTGTATATGGCATGGAAGGTAGACAGAAATTGGTGAGGAAAGCCCTCTCTCTGAACATACAAACTGGCAATTCCTCTCCTCATGTGGAGAAACAGGAAATGTGGTTAAAGACAATGGTGCTAGTATCAATCATACTAGAATGAAAAATCACTGGATTTGTACTACTGGCTTATTTTAGATACAATTATTCTAACAAAATGGGCCACATGGCTGAAGACTATGGTGCATACTTCAGTTCTGCCTTCTCCTAGAACATCTGCCTCCTGGCTTTCAGAGAAGCCTCTGCAGCATTCTAGTGCAGACCCTTCAGCCTCCTCATACACACATGCGATTCTTCGTATTTTCAACCTCTGACTGGATCCTTTGGATCTTTTGCACTCTTCTAACTTGACTCTGCAGCCAGCCACTGTAAGGCTACCTTGTCAATCCTTGTATACTTATATTAAATATGATTCTTCAGTGAGTACTGACTGATACAGAATTTGGTACTGGGAGTGACTCTTGAGAAAAACAACCGTAAAGCTGAAATTCTTTAATGGTTTTGGTGGTCCTTGAGTTGGCTCTCTAATTTGATAAGACCTAAAGATGTCATGGTCTTCCCTGATGACGTGGGGAATACTGACAGCTGGTGGTATGAACTGTATTAAACTACAGATGCTTTTGATTATCCTAATTCACCTAATTTACTTTGGAGATGGAAGGAACTTGTAACTTTATATATAATACTTCTGAATATTTTTGACAGAATATGAAATATAGTAATGCTGGTTAGTTGCTTTTAGCACCTCTGGACAAAATGGTAAAGACAAATAATGTACTCAAAACATGCATAGGCAATTTAACATCTTCCAACTGGAAAGACAAACTAATAAAGGAAAACTGAAGGGCTTGAACAGTCAAATTCAAATCCCCAGCTCCTGACACATTATAAAGAATCTAAAAGTATCTAAATCTTGAAAGAGAATCTCCTTTCCCTTAGCTGCAGGGATGAGATTGCAAAACCCTCCAAACAGGCCCTCATAATTAATTTAATGCTCAGTCTTGAAGTAAAGGTGAAGGCACTGATTGGAAAGAAACAGGATCCCATAATTTGGGATGGAAATGTTTGGGAGAGATCCTGACAAGGCTGGTGATGATGAGCTCTTATATGTAATTATTTTTGCCAGAGGAAGATTTCCTTACCCACAGTAGCCCAGATACTCCCTCTCCCATCCTTTGTGGTACTGGCCTCTCCTCCAATACCTGAGGACATAAATTCTACATGGAGCATGCCATGATAATGCTTAGACTCCTCAGGACTCACCCTCACCACCCACTTCTGTCTCTAGGCCCATAACCAGGATCAAATCAAAGGCTTCTAAAAATGAGGTACATAGTTTGGCCCATGAGGAGGTCCACAATTCTTCCAAAAGAATTTCTTCAATTTTCTCTTATAAGGAGAGGCCAGATAAGCAAGTATGGAACTGAATTTTAAGGATGCAGGATAATAGTGGCAAAAACGTACATATGGATCAAACTGAGTTTGCTGATATGGGGCAGCTAAGTACAGCAGCTTGTGGAGTAAAGAAAAGATATTAATGGTTTATTTGTTTGGGTGGCAGAAGCATAGATCAAAAGATGGCCCACTGTAAGTTAGAGCTGTCAGGTGTTCAATGGTTTACTGATGATGAGATTCTAAAGGCTCAGGAAAACTGGAAAGCTGGAGTGGATTTGTTATATTCAACCTGATCCTCCACACGGGGATCCGGAAAATGTGCTCTTCATCAACACGTGAAAACAGAGATTCGTGATGGGAGCACCAGAATTCCTGAAGAGCCCTACCACCACTCTTTTGTATATGCAGGACCTTACAGAGCAGACCACAGTTGCGCAATTGGAAAACTTAAGGCCAATGGGTTTAATTCCAGAGTGGCAGGGGCCAAGTAATAGCAATTAATCACCAAATGCAGGGTGA